TCATCTTTCAGATGTAGATTTTTCTCATCTGCAAAGCAGGGCTATTAATAACTTCCTCTTAATGGGAGGATCAAGATTAAATGTAGTAACAAAAGTTTCCAAGCCCAAATATGATTGGGGCCTCTCTAGACACCAGGAAAAGGAATCAATCAGAACTCAGGACTGAACAATAGATCAGAGAAAAGGAAGGTTAGTACTTGCTGCACTTGAAGGAGCAATACAGGTATTCATAGGTCACCCCTAGGATCTTCTGATGAGCAGTAGGGTGACTCCCTCCTGTGTCATGAAGTAAGTGTGAGACATAACTAAACATGTCCTTCCTCTAGACCTTGGGGTTAAGCTTGAAGCTGTCACTCCTGCCCCATTGGATGGCTGCAGGTGGAATGGGGGCAAAACTAAACTTGCAAAGGGAAGTCATCACTGGGCCTTTGAGTAAGGAGTCTGTGCAAGACAGAGGCAGTGCAGGCTGAGTACACATGGAACATTGGAAGGAGAGTAGCTGTGAGATGTCCCAACTGGTGAGGATTAAAGCCATGGAATATGCCCCAAGAGCAGAGGATGCCCAAGGTGGCCAGGCTGTCAGAAGTCTAACATCTGTCACAGAAGTAAGCAACTGCCCCTCAGGGCATGGCCCACCCAGGGCTGGAAGCTGAAATACTCAGGCTTTCCAGCTTGTAAGCTCTGGAGAGGTCATCCAGCCCAGAAGTTCCCAAACATAGCCCCTGACCTAGCACGACTGAATAAGAAGCCTCTGGATTTGAGCTAGGCCAAATACTTAAATGCTTCTCAGGTGATTCTTGTGGCTTAGATGAGAACCAGGAGTCTATATTTCTAACAAGCTCCCAGCAGATACCTGTGCTGCTAGATCATGGACCACATTTGGATAGCAGGTCCTGGACAGTAGATGTTTGGATCTTCTCTAGTATATCCCCATCAAGAGGTCATTTAACCTATGCTTGATTATCTCCTGTGACAGAAATCTTATCACCCATTCAAACTTTATCCCTCCTAGTTAACCATCTGTGTATATGTGTGTTTCCTAAGTTCTGCTATTAATATTTCTTGCCTATTCTGTCCTTGGGCAGCTCTGCCAGAAAATTATTACTTGTATTTTCCTACCATTTAAAGATTATAACAGTAAGTTTTTGGTAGAAAATATGGAAAAATATAGGCATATAAAGGGAAAATCCATAGTAACCATAACACCACCCAACTAGAGATACCTGCTGTTGAAACACTGGACATTTTCTTCTAGTTCTTCCTTATCAGGTTTTGAAACCTGGTTTCCATACCTTTCTCCCTTAGAGCCTCAGAGAACAAGGCTCAGCCCCATCTCTTTTTTCTCTGACAGCTTAGAGCAATGGGCAGCAATTCTCCACTGACCTGTGCTCCAATACCTACCTTTCCTGCTGATTCTGGCCTTACTCCTTAAAATAACAAAGTGTAGGCAGAGATGAGGGAGGAAAATTCAGGTTCTCTGGGTGAGAAGACACGGCTGGTGCTCACTGAGCTGCAGGCTATTTTTCTTTCTTTTTTTTTTTATTAAGGTATGATTGATATATACTCTTATGAAGGTTTCACATGAAAAAACAATGTGGTTACTACATTTACCAATATTATCAAGTCCCCACCCATACCCCAATGCAGTCACTGTCCATCAGTGCAGCAAGATGCCACAGATCCACTTTGTGCCTCTCTGTGCTGCACTGTTCTCCCCGTGATCCCTCACACCATGTGTACTAAACATAATACCCCTCAGTCCCCTTCTCC